GCGTTTGATCGCGTATCACACCCCGGTGTGCTACACAAGTCCAACGTATACGGCCTACGTGGGCAACTGCACCAGTGGCTCAGCAGCTACCTAATTGAACGCTACCTTCAAGTGGTCATTTGTGGCCAGACATCCTCAAGGCTCCCAATTCAGACTGGAGTCCCCCAGGGCAGTATTCTGGGTCCGACTCTCTTCCTCATATACGTGAACGACTGCGAGGACCACGTACCAGCCGGTGCTCACCTAGCCTCATTCGCAGACGACACTACACTGCATGCAAACATCACCTCCACCACCCAAGCCCTCCAGCTGGCAGTCAACAACATCTCCCTCTGAAGTCAAGAATGGAAGATAGAAATTTGAACCAGCCAAATCCCAAGCACTGAAAGTTAGCTTCCACCGCACCCAATGGAACATGCCACAGATTGATTTCAATGGATCTAACCTGAGAGAACAAAAGGAGCTTTGGCGTCAGTTTTGATGGTCAGCTTACCTTCCGGCGCCACCTTCGAATCGTAGCCCTCCGGGCAACACAGCGACTTGGCGCTTTCTGTTAGGCTTTCCACCTTTTAGACGTATCCGGTCGCATCCAAGCCTACAATGCCTTTGTGCGCCCAGTGATGGAGTACTGCTCCATCGTCTGTATGTAAGCAGCCCCATCCCATCTTGCAAAACTCGACCGTGTGCAAGCCCGGGCCGTCCAAACCATCGCCCCAATGTTTTGGCTACCGAGTCTTGCTCTTCGTCGGATGGTTGCAGCACTTTGCCTCCTGTACAACATGGATTGTCCAGATGCTCATCCCCTTCTACAGAGGATGCTGCCACCCCAGCAACCCCAACACCAAACAGTCCACTTCACCCGTAGTACGATTTAGAGATGTTATTCCCATGCACACCAACTGGCCAATTAACTTCCAGTCCGTTCCCGAAACAACCTGTGCCGAGCCTACCCTCACACAGCTGTCCCCGTCTGAAACCAGCTGCCCGCCGGAGTCTTCTCTGGTCCATTCTGCACCAAGAACTTGCAACATTTAAAGGTTGCAGCCAACCATTGTTTGAAGACCAACGACTGGTCGTGGGCACATGACCATCTCTGAGTATCAGCATCACATCTGCCTCACCCCATGACTTTTAAATTCCGCTCCAAATACTCCTCCCAATAACAACTGTTCTTCTTTTCTCTCATTCTCCACCTAACACTGGCTGTGTGATCTTTTCCTCCTTGAAATGTCCTGTCTCTCCTCCTAACATTTCGTATCATGTACCTGTCACTCCTTTCAGTTGTTTCTTCTTCTTACTTTTTGGTGTGTTTTATGTCCCCATGACGTCGAGACCTCAGGTTGGCTGAGGGCAAAAAGCCTTACCATCGCTATGCTCCCACTATGCAATTTTTTCGTCTTTGCCTGTGAGCTGTGTTCATTGTAAATAAAAATAAAAAAATGGTCGCACTCATTGACTGTATAAGGTCTGGTTACGTTGGTGGACAGTTAGTCATAACTCGGAACATTTTGTCCTTCTCCTTTTTCACAATAAATTATGTACAGCAATGTAGTGATAAAACCAGGTCAAAGCAGAATAGCTAAAAACAACGATGATTAATACGTGACCAATATACATCATGCCTATACATACTTCATTGTTCTTGCTCTCATTTGCTCATGCCGCTATATTACCTTGTTGATGCGGAAGGAGACAATGTACGGGAGAAGGTACGTCACAACATGAAGAGAAGGCACGGAAGTTTACTCGCAAGAAAGTATTCAACTGCGTAATTCTTCTTTAGAAGCGGTGAGGCCTCCTGCAGTTTCATACAGAATTACAGATGGAGCGGACTCGCTCCCTTCTATTTACACTGCAACGTTCGAACACATTTTCGTAGTTAAAACAACGTTTCGGCATATAGCCCTCATCAGGTTTGCAATGATGTGCACTCTACAAAGGAGCAGCAAATATACTGTGCTGTGCTGTGTTTGCGCCAAATGTGTCAGCTACAAAGGTGGCGAAAGGGATTGGTGATATATTAATATCCAGATACGATATATTCACAGTAGTGCCCAGCCAGCATTAGTGTTTACTTGCGGCCGCAAGTTGCGGATTTCAACAGCTTCTCGCAGTTTTCTGCTTGCTCTGTCGCCTGCCCTTGCCAGGACTTACACAGCCGAGAACACACTATTCGCAGCAGCTATGCTCTCGCCAGAATGTTTGTCGCGCACGTGGTCACCCCATGGCTTATCGAGAGTGCGACGGCGTGCCTCGCCATTGTGCTCCCGAATTCTTGTTTCCAAGGAGCGTTTCGTCTCCCCTACATACGTTTCCCGGCACCATTTGCATTGCAATTCGTAGACTACATTCTTTGTCATACATACTCGTTCGCCTCCAGACTGACAGGTAATGCAAGGCCCTAGTGGACGTCCTCTCCGTCTTTTTTCAGTAATGTTGGGCTCGTTTACGCACTTGGGTGGTAACAGCGCCGAACGGCACAGTTGACGCCTGAGGCTGCCCGAGTGCTCGTATACGACACGTACCGGCAACTTGTATTTCCGTATTGCTTTGTTCACATGGTGGTGTACTTCATCGGACTTGAACGGTAGTTTAAGGAAGGCAGAGCGGGGATTACCGCGTCGTCTACGCCGAGGTTTCCTGGCAGCTTCCCTTGCTTCCGATATGATACTGTCTGGGTAGTTATTTATGCGCAGTTGTTTGTGTATTTTTTGTTCGCTCTCGGCTTGCATCATGGGGTTAGACGATAGTTGCTGTGCCCTTAGGAATTGAGATTGAGCAACGGCTACCTTGATGTGGTGAGGAACTGCCGATGAATAATCCACCAGTAGGCCACTACTGCATGCCTTCTGGAATAATTTGAATGACAGCTCTCCGGTTTGCCCAACCGCGATCGTTACGTCCATGTAGTCTATGCAGCCACTGTCACAACTTAATTCATGCGTGAATTTGATACGTTCGTGGCTGGCGTTGAATCTTTCTATGAGCTCCAGAAGGCGCTGCCTACCATGTGTCCATAGGATGATGATATCTTGGATGTATCGTCTGAACAGAATAGGTTGGAAGGGTGAGTCCTGAAGAAGTCGTGTCTCAATGGTGTGCATAAACAGGATGGCAAATGGAGGTGCCAGGTTGTTCCCCATAGCAACCCCATCTAGCTGGTGGTAGATCTGTCTGCCAAATCTGAAGTAGTTATGACTCAGAACAAACTTCAGTAGTGTCCTGACTTGGGTCACGCTCAGCCCGAGCATATCAACTCTGTTATAGTGTTGCTCTAGCACGTCACTAACGGCATTCACGCCCTCTTCGATCGGTATGCTGGGATACAAACCCACCACATCCATCGTAGCCAGAATCGTTCCAGCAGGTGCTTTAAGGCCAGGGTATATGATGCGGATATTGTCTAGCGCGTCTTTGGTGTTGATGAGGTGCGATGGGACAAATGCAAGCAGTTGATGCAATATGCGTTCGAGAACCACCGAAATTCCTGTGACTGGACTGTCACAAGCAGAGACAACAGGTCGGAGGGGCAAATTTTGCTTGTGGTCCTTTGGAAGACCGTATAGTTCCGGGAATCGTGTGTCATGAGGGAGTATTGCAGTCAGAAGATCAGGATCCATATTCGTGCATTGCTCTTCCAGTATGGATTTAACCTCTTTCTCATACGCAGTGATAGTTAGATCCACTTTTCTGTACATAGTGCTGTCAGACAGAAGTGCCTCTGCCTTCTCCAGGTAGAGTTCCTGTTTCATAGCTACTAGCTTCTTGCTCTTGTTGGATTGCTTTATCACTACACTGGGGTCATGACGAGGTTCTCTCAGTCCGTCGCGTTCCTCTTGCGTCATATTATGCTTGGGAGGTCTTTGTTTGCCATATGCTGCCAAAACTTCGTCCTTGAAGTTGGCCATCTTTCTTTCCCCATCCTGGCTCATTCTGGGCGGTTGCTTGAAGCCATGCTTCTTTAGCTTCCACAGCCTGCGATCACACTCGGTACCGGTATCGTGGTCGTCCTCTGGCTGGTCCACACCCTGAGGCCGCGCCTGCTGCCATCTCAAAGTGTAGGCCATCCGTTCTACGGAGGTGACCACTTCTGATTTCTCACGACTGGTTAACTTGCCCGTGGACGGTACAAAACCGGGTCCCAGTTCCAATACCCGTCTGGCATTGTCTGTTACACACGAGTCCATGACAAGCGTTCGCCGAGAATGCTCCATTCCCGTCCGGCCGGGACTACCCAGGGCTGTCCCACTCTGGTAGGACGACGCGGGCAAACATGCCTCATGCGCTTCCCTGGCATCTTCTTGGGCTTGAAGCCTAGACAGCTTCCATCGAAGCCTTGCATTGGTACGGATGCGCTCCTCCGTAACCACACAGCGCCGCAGGGCGCGAATACGCACGTAATCCTCCCTGGAAAACGACCAAAGCTGTTCGCAGAAGTACCGGCACTGTCTTGTACGGAAGTCCCTCTCTGCGCACTTGTCCTGTATTGCGTCGATCAGAAGTCGGAGACAGTACTGGAAGCGTCTTTGCTGTCGAACACTCTTGTGCCTTGAGGCTGGAGGTGGCTGAACTGATTGCGTGATGAACCGTGGGATGATACGCTCCTGCCGGCATTGAAGAAGAAACGACAACTGGCACTGGCTCCTCTGGAGTTTGCACCCCCATTGCAAGTATCGCCATGGCGCCTCGCTCCTAGAAGAGGAGAACCAAGAGATTAGAAGCGGTGAGGCCTCCTGCAGTTTCATACAGTTTCGCCACCTTTGTAGCTGACACATTTGGCGCAAACACAGCACAGCACAGGATATATTCGCTGCTCCTTTGTAGAGTGCACATCATTGCAAACCTGATGAGGGCTATATGCCGAAATGTTGTTTTAACTACGAAAATGTGTTCTAACGTTGCAGTGTAAATAGAAGGGAGCGAGTCCGCTCCATCTGTAATTCTGTAATTCTTCTTTC